AAGGGTCTCGGGTGGGTTAAAGGTCTGGGGTGGGTCAAGGGTAGCGGGGTGGGTCAAGGGTAGCGGGGTGGGTCAAGGGTAGTGGGGTGGGTCAAGGGTCGCGGAGTGGGTCAAGGGTCGCGGAGTGGGTCAAGGGTCTGGGGTGGGTCAAGTGTCAAGGGGCTGGGTCAGAACCGTGACTGATAGGTAGCAGGATAAATGAAATAGCTTGCTTCTTCATTAGATTATCGGTGTAAAAATAAGGTTAAGTCGGTGGTGCTTAATGAAAAGCAGAGTTTTCGCATTGTCAACGTTTGTTATTCGCTATCCGTTAGTTTAACAAGAATTGCATTTTAAAAGCAAAAAAAACTGATCGCTATATTTTAAAAATATTTAAACAAAATGTAAAGCAATCGTCAATTAACGACGAAGTTTTCACATTGAATTCAATAATTTAGAAATGAAATATTCCTAACGGGTTAATTGCTTGTACATAACTGAACATGTCCGTACAATGTTAACGTATATTTATTAACTGATAAGCCTAAACCTATACACAGTAACCTAACCTGCTTTACATAATCGTGATATTTCGCTTTCTGGTATATGATGGATATTCACCTATAATTATCAATATGTAAACAAATATATTCGTACCGGTTTGATTTTACCTAAATTCACCTATGTATATTGTATAAACAAATACCGGACATGTAGCCATAACGATCTCAATATTAATAACTAACTATTAACAACACCTGAAATATTTAATGCATTAATTATTTGTTCAGCTTACATTACGAAGAGAGATTAATTTCACACATTCATTTTATTGTGATTTAACGGGAATTAATTCACCACTTGAATCATTTCAACGCTTAATGAATTATACGGCTTGAATGGATACGAACTGTTACGCGTAAACGTATTCATGTACACGTAAACGTACTCAGATACACGTAAACGTACTCAGATACACGTAAAAGTACTCAGATACACGTAAAAGTACTCAGATACACGTAAACGTACTCAGATACACGAATAAACGTACGTTTAAATCACTTATTAACGTACGTTTAAATCACTCATTAACGTAAGTTTAAATCACTTATTAACGTACGTTTAAAACACTCATCAAAGTACGTTCAAATCACTTATTAACTTACGTTTAAATCACCCAATAACGTACGTTAAAATCATCGAATAACGTACGTTTAAATCACTTATTACGTAGGTACGTTTAAATCACTTATTAACGTACGTTTAAATCCCTCATTAACGTACGTTTAAATCCCTCATTAACGTACGTTTAAATCACTCATTAACGAACGTTTAAATCACTCATTAACGAACGTTTAAATCACTCAATAAAGTACGTTTAGATCACTCATTAACGTACGTTTAAATCATTCAATAAATTACGTTTAAATCAACACGTAATTGTACACAAATCAATATTTACACGGGTGTTTAAATCAACTCGTTCTCTTGTATTTAAATCAACTCGTTCTCTTGTATTTAAATCAACTCGTTCTCTTGTATTTAAATCAACTCGTTCTCTTGTATTTTAATCAACTCGTACACGTACGTTTAAAACACTCATTAACGTACGTTTAAATCAATACATAATTGTACATAAATCAACATTTGCACGGGCGTTTAAATCAACTCGTTCCCGTGTGTTTTAACACGTTGACTACGATTGCTTCATCTTGTACTATTATTTCATTTTTAGTACCCGGTACTGTTCTTAAGCAGGGTTGCCAGACGGTTATTTTTTCCGGACAAATTCCGTGATTTAGTTTTTCTCAACTGCGTTGGCTGGCTAAAATTTATGATAGGGGTACTTCCTAATTAAATTTTAAATACTGCAAAAAGAAAATAAATGGAATTTTTATAGCAGAACCTACAAATAAACTAGTATACATTGAATTATCGGCCTTTTTTTGGCCATTTATGTTCTCGGATTTGGCCGATTTTAGGCAACCTGACTTATGTACCACTACGTCCTGGAGAAATACATTTCGTGGTACGCATATGAACCACTACGTAGTCAACGTGTTAATCAACACGTAAACGTACGTTTAAATCAAGACATAATAGTACATAAATCAACATCAACACGTACACGTACGTTGAAATCAAGACATAATAGTACATAAATCAACATCAACACGTACACGTACGTTGAAATAACTTCAAATAACCCACGTATGTTCCTCGCCCGTAGGCCG